GAGGCCCGTTGTTAATTTTGAGGGTTCCCGTTAGAATTTAACCAATAAGAAAATGAAACATCATTATAACATTAAATCTGCCTAATTTTAAAATTGTCAGTGATCTGCTAAGCAGTTAAACTTAACATAACATCAGGTAAACTTAGCAACATTTTAAAAAACGAATAATTTAAGAACGTTTCAATATTTAAAATAATAAAATCATAATATTTAAGTTTCCTTTTTTACTATATGTATATATTGCACAAATACTTAAATGCTATTGCACTTTATTTTATAAAACATTGCACCTAAATCGATAATTAATTGTACCATCTTTTATTATTTATTTATTTTTATAGTAAGTTGATATAAGATATCTAAGAATTTCACTTTTGAGGTTGCTATTGCACACTAAATAAAAGTATATTGCACATGCATTTTCAAACAATTGCATTATACTAAAACTAACCATATTCTTGATTTTTTTTTTTTTTTTTACATTGTAAAAAAGATCTATGTGTAATTGCACATTTGCTCATTAGAAATTGCACCTATATTTGTACATGATTGCACTTGGCTAGTAAAACATTGGGCCATGTTTTATATAAGTAATTATTTATTTTATTTTTTTCAAAAGAAAGGTTAGGATGACATTCAGGTCCCAACTAATTCATAAAAACTCAAGAGGTCTACCCAGGAGGTAAATTTATGAACTAGCCAGTGCCATATAGTATAATGCATCCAAGAGGTCTACCCAAGGGATGAATATATATACTATAGAGTTCCTTAGCTTCACCCCTACCTATATTTTATTAAAATTCCTCCAAATAAAGAAGTCAGGCAGTGCAGAAAACTTGCCTGCTATACATCAAGCAAAGCGAGTTCTAATATAAGGAAAGGATGACTGATCTAGCATCAATAATCCTTTTACAACTTGTGGTAAAGACTCTAAACTAGAGTACATATTGGAGGAACCATTAGATGCATACTTCGCCAATCTATCATCAACGGAATTAGCCTCCCTGTAGGTATGCAAAATTTGAAAATTATTCTTCTGAATGATGAAAATCATTTCCTGCAAAATAGAATAGTAACTCCACAAGAGCCCTTTCCCCGACTTCAAAATATCAGCTAAAACTTTGTTGTCTGTTTGAAGGGTCACATTTGCAAGTCCCAGGAAATCACAATTCCTTAGACCAAACAATGCCCCAAAGATTTCAGCTTTAAGGCTATCTCCTTCTCCCAAATAACCGCCTTCTCCATACAAGAAAATACCGCCTTCCCCCCTGATTACGAAGCCATAACCAGCATCATTAACATGAGATGAGCCATCCGTATTCAGAACATAAGAATTTGCTGCCGGAGGTATACAAGCTACTTTCCAAACCCTTGGTCTAACTATTCGACTTAGTTTTACTCCAAAAACCAGCCTGAAAAATTCTTTTTCCACCTCACTGCGAACCTGCAGATTATGGACAAGCACAACAGAGCAAACTTGATCCATGATAGCACAAACAATGGACTAAAAATTAGCTCTAACTCCATCATAAATTGCCTGGTTGCGCCCCTTCCAAATTTCCCAAAGAATAATCAAAGGGAGAAGCTTGCGGATTGCACCTGAGGCTGTCTTAACATCACCCTTCCTCCACCATTTACCAAGCATCGAATCAAAGGAGAAACACCCCAACACATTGAGCTCAGTCATCGCAGCAAAATGTAACCATATTCTCTGACTCAATGAGCATTGAATAAAACAATGCTCAATCTCATCATCATAACTAAAGCAAAGTTGACAAATAGAGGGTGAGATATTGATACCAATTTTTGCCAAAACTTCCGGGAATGCCAACAATCGATTCCGCAATCTCCATACAAAAAGAGATATCTTCACTGGGGTGATTGAGTTCCAAACATTCTTCATCCAACTTTCATGCTCAAGCTTCCGCCTTGTTACCTCGTAAGCTGTTTTAACCGAAAAAACTCCACTACAGGTACATTGCAAAAAATCAAATCTGCATCATCCTGAAAAACATGACAAAATCAGCAAGAAAAGTATTAACTTGCGCAGGAAGGATATCTCGAACCATATGCAAACTCTGGCCTGTTTAGAAAGAACTCCTTGATGCTGATATGTGGATGAGGAAGGTTTTCATGATACTCCCCTTTAAGCACTCCAAAGGGCGACCAATTGTCAAGCCAAAAGAAACTATTCCTGTTCTGCACTATGACTTTTGTATGATGTATTACTCGTTGCTCTACCTTTATGACTCGCTTCCATGAGGTCTTTCCTTTCACCGAGAGTGATAAGGAGCTTAAGAATCGACTCCAAATACCACTTTGCTTCTTCCATTTCTACCATAGTTTAATAGTTAAAGCATCAATAGTATCCTGCATGCTCCGTAAACCTAGCCCATTCTCCATGACTGGAAAGGTTAATCTCTCCCAAGCTCTCCAATGTCTCTTTTCATCACTAGGCCCCCTCCATAAAAATCTTTGACACATGTTTTCCATCTTCTGTATGACTGATTTCGGCGGTGGTATGGCAGAAAAAACATGTATAGGCATAGAAGCCAAAACATGTTTAATTAAAATGAGCCAACCACCTAGGCTAAGGAGCTTGTTCCGCCAACTCAATAGCCTACTATTCATGTTGTCCAAAAGAAATTGATAAATTGTAGCCCTGCACCTTCCTTTAAATGGCCGACATCTAAGGTAAACAAATGGAAGGCTCCCTTTTTGAATCCCTAGCTCATGCTGAATAATTTGTACCCTCCTCGCTGGACAATTATCATCAACATAAAATGCACTTTTTTGTCGATTGATTCGCTGGCTAGAGGTGTATTCATAAGCATGGAAGAATCCATTAAGATTTTGCAAGGATCGCTTCAAACCCCGAGAGAAAACTATGAGATCATCCGCAAAAGCAAGGTGCGAAACAATCATTGAACTAGAAAGAACACCATATGCCGCAACGCTTGTAGATTCCACCAAGTTTTTTAGCCTTCTTATCATTGCTTCTGAAACTAGAATAAATTAATATGGAGATAAGGGGTCTCCTTGTTTAATTCCATGGGAAGACTGAAAAAAAGCAGCCGGACCTCCGTTGATCATAATTGAGAACCAACTATTGCACAAATTATTCATGATCAAAGTAACAAAAGCAATCAGAAATCCAAACTTAAGTTAAAACCTCTCTAAGAAGCTCCATTTCACCCTATCAAATGCTTTCATCATGTCTAGTTTCAAAATAAAATTCCTCCCTTCATACCTTTGATTAAGGAATTGACATAGATCTTGCGCAAGTAGCATATTATCAAATATGTCCCTCCCCTCCAAAAAGGCCGACTGCTCCTCCGATATTATCTTTGGCAAAACCTTTTTCAACCTTTCAGTAAGCACCCTGGTGAAGACTTTATTTAGAAAATTGCACAAACTAATAGGCCTATAATCTGAAAAAGTATTAACCGCAGCTTTCTCTGGAATGAGTGTGATAAGTGTACTGGAAATAGCTTGAGGGATAGGGATCCCAATCATAAACTCCTGGCAAGCAGAATAGAGATCATTAGCAACAATGTCCCAACATGATCTATAGAAAGACCCTCCAAACCCATCAATCCCCGGGGCACTGTCTTCACTCAAATTAAAGATCGCTTTCTTAATCTCCTCAATAGTAATTTGATGCATCAACCACTCTTCATCTTCCTGAGTTAAGATCGATGGAATATGATCCAGAAATAAAGCTTGCATACCCTCCTCGCTGCCATCATCCGTATCATCAGTCAAAAGCTTTTGAAAAAACCTCACAGCTTCTTGATCAATCTCAGCACTAGAGGTAAGCATTCGGCCCTCCTCTGACTGGATTTTGAAGATGCTTTGTTTGATTCTCCTTTCCTTCAAAGTGGCGTGAAAAAAAGCCGTATTAGCATTCCCTTCTTTTAGCCACCTCAATTTCATCTTTTGCAACCAAAAATCTTCGTGCTCTTTAAGCCTCAACAGCAAATTAGCTTTAGCTTCATGAAGAACAACTCGATCCTGCTCCGATCTAGATAAATCATATGCATTTTCAAGTTGCTGCATAGTCTCCCCCGCCACCTTTACATTCTCAAAAACTTCTCCAAACACCTCTTTATTCCACTCTTTCAGTTTTAGTTTCAGGCGTCTGAGTTTCATAGAAAAACGTAGCATTCCCCTTTGCTCAATTGGTTGGTCCCAACAATCTTGAACCAGCTCCTTAAACCCTTCCCGGTGCAACCACATTTTCTGAAACCTAAAGACCCTTGGCTTGCTATCTCCTTGCACAGCAAATACATGCAACAAAGGACTATGCTCAGATGTGGTCCTATTCAAATTCTCAACAGAGGAGCTAGGGAAGTAATCATGCCATTCTTTGGAGATCAAAACTCTGTCAAGTTTTTTGCTCATCCAGCCGGTAGCTCTCTTCCCACCCCAAGTAAACTCTTCTCCAATTGTTGGGAGTTCAAGTAAATCACCTTCAAAAATACAGTCATTGAAATCCAACATGGCCGCATGATCCTGAACTGAGACACCTGAATATTCCTACAATGAACAAATAACGTTGAAATCCTCAGCTACCATCCATGGAGAATTAGCATACCCCTACCGAAACGCCATCAAACTCCTCCACAACGGTTGTCGCGCCAGCCTAGTTGACTTTGCATATACTACAGAGAGGTAGAACCTTTTAGCAATGTTGACATGAGAAGCTGTGAAGTGCAAGACTTGATCATCATCAGCTAGCATAGATATGGTAAATTCCCACCGAGTGAATACACAAATTTTGCTAAAATTGGAAGAAAAAGCAAAGTCAAAATCCAACTCTCTTCTTATGCTATCAATCTGCCCCAAATCCAACATAGGCTCCAGAATTATTAAAAAAGAAACTCATTTCTTTGTATCAATGCTCGCAACCGTCGCTGCGATGCTTGATTCCTTATTCCTCTAATATTCCAAATTATTTGACTTAACATGGAAACAAATGATGAGAGAACCGTAGCATTTTATTGCGCCCTCGAGGACTGCCTTGGCATAAAGCCATCAAGTAGCTGCACTTTTTCCTTTTTTGATTTCCGGCCATGCTTCTTATGTATTGAGCCTTCCCCTTGCACCGGCTCTAGTACATGATCAGTTTCTGCATTGCCATCAGACCAACTTCCTCTATCAATGTTGGCCCGATCATCATCATCAGCTGACATTCCCCACACTCCATCGTTCAAACAGGTTCCCACATCAAGAGGACTTGTGGTAGCCAACAAAGGTTCATCACGCGGGGCTTCAACTAACTCAGAGATATTCTGAATTTCATGTGATAGCATAGCATCTTCCTCAAATACATCTGCCACCTTCACTACTTCCTCATCAACAACTTCAATTGAGACTTCCTCTAGAGCAGCATAACGATTAGAAGTTTCCAAAATAGGAGCTTCCTCCGCCATAGGAGGAGAGCTACTAGTCGTGTTTCCGCTAACATTAACCTGTGCAACAGATTGTAACAGATGAACATCTTCACCTTGATTGCTGTCTTTTCCTTGCTGAATAGCTGCTTCCACAACATGATCTCGAGGTACCAAGGTAGGACTGTCTGAGACATCAACAGGAACCTCACTCTTCTCCTTCTCGGATAGACCAGAAGTCGATTCCCCAGCGCGCGTCTCTGGTAACGCAGCTAGGGTTTGCCACTGCGACTCATTAGCAGGCTTCGCTATTGCCCTAACAGTGAGTGACTGCCTTTTCAGAATCTCCACATCAAGCTCTGGGATATCCTTCTTGTGTTTGGAGCCCCTAGTGACTTTAGGCTGCTGCAACTTGACGCCTTTTTTCTTCGTGTTCGGAACGTTTTCCTTCTCAATTTCTTTCAATTGCGGCAGTGGTTTCCCAACTTTACAGTCAACCGATTTGTGTCCAATCTTGCTACATTTGGAGCAATATGATGGCACATGTTCATATGTAAAAATCTGCTCGTGCTTCCGACCTTTCTTTCCAATCCTCACTGACTTTGGGAGGTCCTTCATAAGATCAACTTCTACGCAAAAACGCGCCACCGATGGCCGCGTCATATTCAAGGTTAGTGTATCAACCTTCAATGACTGACCAATTGCGGATGCCATGGAGAAGATAACTTCCGGGTGCATAAATTCAACCTGCCAATCGTATAATGATACCCAAATCGGGACTACAGGTGGATCTTCCTCAAATCGAAATCCCAGTGTCCACTTCAAAATACGCATAGAGAAGCCCGCAATGTTCCAAAATGTTCTAATCCAACACCTTTGATAATCATCTTCCTCCTCAATTCGGATTAGAATATGTCTAGGGTTCATGAGACCCAATGTGTAGTCACCATTGAATCCAATCTTCTTGAACTCCTTATGTATTTCCTCCATCTTAGGGCAACCATACAAAAACTTCCCTACAAGGCTCAAGCGATGCGGAGCAATGAGCTTTTCAAACTCATCATCCTCATACTCCAATGTTGGAGTACCATTGATGAATTTTACCTGTTTGATGAGCGAGCTTTGGACTGCCTCTGGTGCCGAGAGTTTTTGGAAGAAACTTGCAAATGTTTTTGGCTTTTTTGGAGGTGCAATCGACGGTTGATCGCCGACCATGATGGCCAGGGAGAAGGCGTGGAGCCGTCTTGCTAGGGTTTTTACTATATATAAGTAATTATTTTTTACAATTTTAATTTTTTCATTTAGAACTCTGCTTATAAGTCTTACTAACTGATTATTTACGTATTTTGTTGAATAATTGAATTTCATTTACAACTTTTGTTATGAATTTTTGAGCATAATAGTTTTTTAAGTATTGCACATTTGTGTGTCTGTTTTTGCACATTAAATAAAAAAAATTATTTATATTTTTGTTTCACCCGTTATGAATGCCAAAAATGCTACAATGAATGTACATGTCCTATATTTGACGTCATATGAATTTCATGGTAACAAAATGATTTAGATGATCACTAATCGTTTTAATATCCATGAGAATGTTTAGCTGCCTTTCTTGTGATTTGCTAATTTTTCTTTAAATAATATTTTTTTCTTTATTCTTTTTCCGAAAAAAAAAACAAGAACTAAACCGATTGCCTTGACATATCATAATCAGAAGAGATAGAATGGTTAAACTTCAATGTTCAATATTAAGTATATATGAAGAGTAAGAATAAAGAATAAAAGTTACCCGCTTACAATTATTATTATTTAAATTTAGTGAGATTTAAGTATTTTTATTTTATTTTCTTTAATATTGTAATAGATATACAAACATTGCACCTTTGAACATGTTGTTACACATTCAGGAAATCATATTGCAGGTTCAATTACAAAGAATTGCACTACCAAAACTTTTACTATCATTATCAATTAAATTAATTTTATTGATTGCACATTTGGTCATTAAAATATAGGACATAGATTAATATATGATTGTACACACTCCTAAAAAAATTGCACAATCTCTAATGCAAGTTATTTTTTTTTTTTACACATGACCAACAATTAGAAATAAGTTTAGTATAATAATAGATACATTTTTTTTTTCAATTGAAAAATTAGATCACAAGGAATTACACTCTCGACAATTTTCAGAACCCTGAGCTTTGCAAATTGGTGTGCAATTACTGGGTAAGGGTAAACTGCTGAGATTAGCAACAATGTTATGAGAACCCTGTCCACGTGGAGGTCTCTTGATATCTACTTTCATTGCTTCCTTTATTCTGTCGTACATTTGCATGAATCTTATCATGTACACTCCACAATCATAACTGCTGATCGAAGAATGAGAAGAAACTCCATTAGAACATTGTAGTTATAGCAGTATATCAAAATAATTGTTACGGAAAAAAACTAAAAGTAACACCGAGGAAGCAAATCAAATGTGATGACCTGTTTGGCTGTTGGAGGACCCACATTGGTCTTTCAATGTTCCAATTCCTAAAGTTCTCTTCAAATCTTCTACCACGTCCAGATTCCAATCATTCTTGCAATTTGTTTACCTACAAATCAACATAACCCAATGAATGAATCATATATTTATCAACATGTATTAAACGAAATAAGTGGAAGTTTCTATTGCAAAAAAAGCGAGGGAGAACATAACCATTTGTTATTGAATATTTACCACTTTTCTCACAGCTAGTCTCCTCGAGGTTAAGTTTGCTCTCAGAGAGTGAATCATTAGAACATGTCTTTCTTTGAGATAAATCATGCACAAGTACCAATGAAAGTTATTATCGTTCATTGGAATGAATATTTGCCAAGAATAAAATAAAATTCAGGTATATTTTATCTTTCCTCAGTAGTATGAGTTTAATAACTTTTCATATATGTTAATATCATTAAGAAATTGATCGGAGAATAAAGGATCATAGTATAGAATTTCAGGGGTTGAAACCACTTCACGCCGTTCAAGATTTTGTTATGCAAAAAGTTGAAATAAGAAATAGCCCATTGAAAGTGTCACCGCAAAAACACTTACTGCCTACCTAGAACTGATCAGTGAAGAACCAACACGAGCGTCATAATTTGGATACTTTTTCCTTTTTCTCCCATTGAAACGATGAACAAAAAATGTTTATAGCCTACAAAAAGAAATGCGAAAAAAAGTTCAGCTGAAATTAAGAAATTCACTTTAACAATGCAAGCACTATTGAAAAAATTACTTCAGATTATAGCCATCTCCTAGGCTAAAAAAGTTGAAGCATATTGTGGTTTGCCCATGCTACTCTAAATTCAACAATAACACTGCATATTGTGGTTTCCTTTAAGGCGAACTCTTTTTTCCTTTAGCATTATGTACCCCGCTAACAAATGGAGATTTCTGAAACATGCTCTCCTTTAGGTTAGTAGGCTTCGAGTCTTCATGCAATCAAAAGCCGCTGTTGTACTATTATCTGTTTGAAAAACCACATTAACAGAAAGACAGTCTCGAGATATTTTATCATTGACAATGTGCTACATCATCTACTCTATATTTGTTTTACTTTTTTTTTAAAAAAACAAATTCCCAAATATAGTAGATATCGTAAGGGGTTAATTAACGTTATATTTCATTGTATAGGGCACCCAATGCATCATTCCTAATCTCATTGTTTGCCATGTTGCCTTGTACTTTTTCTTCAAAATCCAATTCAACAGTGGATTGCAAAAACAATATTTTATAGTTCGCGGTTTCTTTTCCTTTTGCATTTTTTAACCCATTAACAAATGGAGATTGTAGAAACTTGCTTTCCTTTAGTTTGCTAGGGGTTCGAGTTTTCATGCATTCCAAAGTTGTCGCTATAGAATCAACTGTTTTAAAAAGAAAATAATAATCATTCTTTAAATGTTTGCTCCATATTTAAAAATAAAATAAAACTAAATAAAAGTAGAACTGTAATAGAGGGGTTGAATATAATGAAGGTTACCTTGCATTATGTAAGGCCCCTGGAACGTATCTTTTCCAACCTCATTGTTCACCATGATATCTTGTACTTTTCTTTGAAACCCAAGTGATTAGTGGATTGTAAGAACAACCTTTCAGAGTTCGCGGTTTGTTTTCCTTTAGCATTTTTTTAACCAATTAACAAATGGAGATTGTAGAAACTTGCTTTCCTTTTGTTTGCTAGGGGTTCGAGTTTTCATGCATTTCAAAGTCGACGCTATAGCATCAACTGTTAAAAAAAAAAAGACCACATAAATAATCATTCTTTCAATGTCTGCTCTATATTTTCACAAAACTAATAAAATAAAATTAGAACTGTAATAGAGGGTTTGAATATAACTAAGATTACCTTGCATTATGTAAGACCCCTGGAACGCATCTTTTCCAGTCTCATTGTTTGCCATGATATCTTGTACTTTTTCTTTAAAACCTAAACCATCTCCATTTTCTGACTCTAACAGCTCATTAAGGGCGAAGTGCATCGCTGTGCTTTGATCATTGAATGAACCAATCATCTTCCTCTTAAAATTGTGTCCATGTCGAACTTGTTATTTGAAGTAGAATTTATTTCCACAACTTGAGACTTCCATGGAAGAGTTCCATTTTCTTTGACACTCTTAACATAACAAAAAGAGGCTTCCGTAACTTTATCAGTAATATAATCCTTCTCTGCTTCATCATGAATACTGCTTTGCTTGATAACTTCTGCCAATAAACCTCTTAGTTTATCTGGTAGGCAATCCAATGATTTTCTGAAATCTTCAAATGATTGCTCAATGTGGAACAACCTTCTCTACATTGACACAACCTTATTTTTTAAATTACTAATGTATCTTCCAACCAATACATTTCCCTACATATAATGGAAAATGAAAATGTAGATAACAATATTGAGAGCACTTCACAAAAGGAAAGAAAAAAAACAAACAAACAAAACCAAACAAAAAAAGAATACTTGTACTATTTTCTTTTTCCAGATTTTCTCTCCATAGTAAGTTGTTCCACCATATCTTCAATTTCTTATCATCCCAATCTGTAATACGAGGCATTCGTGGTGTTGCCAAATTCATGGCATTTTCACGTACTGATCTGACTTGTTCAAGATAAAACACCTAAAAAATGGTAAAGTATTAATGTAAAAATTTTCATATTTGCAAGTTCATAAATAATAAATAAAAAAAGTTGGAAAAATCCAGTACTTAACCCCAAGAACATTAATCATCCACTACATCCAATTTGCTTTCCATGTCTCATCTTTCTCTTTCCTCTAACTAAGTGGTCCAATTCCAACTTTCTCCAATTAATATGTTTCAATCTACTCACATCCATACAGATATTCATGTACCCAACCCTCACTCTCGAATTAGTTGTTGGGCACAACAATGCCGACAACATATATAATGTGAATTTAACTTGAAAATCTCCATCACTAGATAGTGTATTCATGAGATATTTTCGTAATTTGCCTATGTTTATTTCTTTCTTTCTTAAATAACCAACAAAAAAGTTCTTCACCCTCCTTAAAAGGTATCAAATACTGACTTTTTATCACTTGCCCACCACTACTTAAACCTAAAATATTTTCCACATCCTTAGGAGTAATTTCTATGCTTTGCCCATGTACATTTGAATGACAAGACAAATCGTCAAATCTATCAAGCAACCAATGACACATAGTTCTATGTATTTGTGTACACCTCAACTCTAATACCCCACCGAAACCAACATGTTGGACAACCTTCTTTGATCAATAGTGAGCTTTCTCAAAACATCAACAACAGCTTGCATTGAACCACTGTTAGATGCTGAATCCTACGCAAAAGAAGCACAAATTATCACTCATATTTTAAGGAAATCCTATTAAATATGTTAGAATAGAATACATGGTTGCTAAAGTCCAAATTTCTAAATCTATAAATGACTTACATCTTTCCTCAAATGGGATGTATTCTTGGTCTTGATTTCTACACATCCAAAACCACTGTAACAAAAGATTATTTTTATTTCCCAGCATATAGGATAACCGCATAATAAATCTTTTAAAACAAAACACATAAAAATATTTTAAATTCTTACTCATATTCTTCCCGGATTGCTCTTTTTCGCTTCCTTTTATCCTTAATCATTTGCATAATCAATATCAATATTCAACTACAAAACAACCCAAGTTGTAACCGCATCAATG